ACACACACACACACACACACACACACACACACACACACACACACACAAATACATTTTAAAGGTGTTTAAAAAATTATAGTGGAAAAACAATTCAGATACTAATATCCCTACTCCAAAAGAAGCAATAATGAATTCACTGAGGTGAAGTCAGAACAATTGAATCCAACTATCACTGACCAGCCACAGTGATGGGGAATGAAGAAACTTCCTAGGCTCAGTGTCTTTACTGGTGAATTCATGAGAGGGATACTGCAGATGAATGCTGATACCTCTTCCAACTTGGATGGAGATGCTAGTGGTTATATGATTCATAAACTCTAATGCCAACTTGGATGGTTTTAGAGTCTAATGGTTATTTCAATTAAATATGGCTATTTAGTACTTATTGGAAGAAGACAGTACTAAACAGGTATGCAGTATTTGTACTGTATTCTATATATGCTCCACAATAAATTCTACCATGCCATGCATAAAAGGGTAAGGTTGGGGTTGGAGATTAACTAGTAGAACAGCATTTGCTGTATCAGACCTTAAGTTCAATCATCAGAGCTGCAAAAGAGCAAGAAAAAAAGGAGAATTTCTGGTAGATACTAGATTAAACAAAGTTTTTCATCAGATGTAATACAAACGAATGATTTGGGAAGGGGAGTACCTGATAATTATATGCCATTTACAGACATACAGACTGTGTGTTAACACAGTACCATTATACTAAAATATTATGTTAAAAACAGTATTTATTGCCAAGGACTAAATGCAAGCTACCAGATGCTAAAAGTGGCTTATGTGTTAACATTTACATTGGATGCCTCAGGTGGGATGTCTTTAAGCCTTTAAACTATTCGCCATGTTGACCAAAACTAATGTTTAAAAGTCCAGGTGTTTCTTACTCACCAGGAAGGCTGTGCCACTTGTTCACAGCAAAGAGCCTGTTAGCAGTGACAGTGATGACAGCAGGCATTGCCAGGCCTGGCTGGGTGTTGGCCGCAACGTGGGTGACTGGAGAGTTTGAAGGGAACTTTAGGACCATGATGACATCTTGCTGGGCCTGGTCTGTGAACATCAATGGACTCTGCAGGAGGAGATACTGTTGAGTGGACAGACAAGACCCCAGTAAACAAGAAGACACAGGAAGACAGAGAGGATATGGGAGAAGAAGAGGAAGATCATGTTAAAACAGGCTGCAAGTCAACTCGTGCTGTTCAGATAGTTTTGCACAGCTGTGCTCATGATTGGCTGGCTTTGCCCATGGCACATGACATTAGCCACAGTCTATCCCTCTCCCCCACAGCACTCGGGATTGAACCTTGAGCCTCCAGCATTGCTAAGTAAGTGCTCTACTACTGACCTACATTCCCAACTCATGTGGAAATTTTTGGTGAGTGAAGTGGGATGCATTAACCAAAACGCTTTAAAAGTCTACACATTTTATTGGCTCCCTTTCCTTGTCTACTGCCCTATAACTCTAAAAGATGGCGTGATTTAGATTTAAAGTATTTGGGGACGCATTAATCCATTCCAGTGGTGTCACCCATTGATCTTTTCATTGCAATACAAAAATAAAAATAGAAAGAATAACAATAGGCAAATGGCATAAGGCAAGCTTAAGGTAATTTCCAAAGATAATCAAAAGTAAGTCTTGAGTAGCATGTAGATTTTGACTGCTAAGATATGATTAAAACAAATATATTTTTAAAAATAAGGAAGCATACATTTATTATTATGGTAGAGAATTTATGCATGTAATATATAAACTTAATTATAAAGTTATTTCAAAGCAATGAAAATGTTGCTTGTAAAAACAATATTATTTATATAGTCCATCAAGCCGTAAACAGGGAGAAAAAGAAATACCTCAATGCCCCTTTTTTCTTTCAGTTACAAATAACAAAATAGCCCTTAAAGCTATATATATACATACATACATACATACGTATATGTATATATGGCAAAATACTCTTCTAATAGCCAGCAACAAAATAAATCTTGAAGATTACTAGGGATTTGGATCATTCCTACAACCCATATATCATAACCTAAGACATATAAAACACTACTCTAATTTATTGGCTTTATTTATCCTTTGTGGTCCTTAGCTATCACACAGTAATTGCACTGTGCGTTCTCAGCAATTCTCTCCTACCATGTCTATTTTCTAATAGCTGATTAGTATCATTCAAAATTGAAACACTTTGATGAAATGCTGCTGGCTGCCTTCCTACCATCATATTTCAAACCACCAGGTATATGTAAATGTTGAGGCACATATACTCAACACATTTATTCAGAACTGCTAATAAAAAATTAAATACATTTGCATTTTTATTATCAGTCCTTTTAAAAAAGTTATTAAGAGTACTTAGAAAAACATATTGCACTAAGATTTCCTATTTGCACTCTTTGCATAAAGGTGTAAATAAAGGCAACTAATAAGCTACCCAGACACCCTTCTGAGCAAGTGGCTAAAAGCCAATCAATATTATGAGTTAATCCTCCCTGGATGCTCATTCAATTAAAGGTGTCAGTAATGCCTCATCTGATGTGGCCTCAATTAAATCCAACTATCTGATGGTGTGAAAACACAGGGGGATACAGCAACAGCAGCAAAACCAGACAAATAGGCAGCCTTCGCGTGCCTGCTAATTACTACACCTGGTGTATATTATGGCTCCCGCACTTATCGCAGCACGAGGCGGCTTTAATTTCTTCTATATTCATATGTGTTTATGCTGGGGTGCAGTTGGTTGGGAACTCCTGAATGTTAGTAAAAACAATCAATAAAAAGTGGTCTCTTAATTCTAAAAACCCCTGGTATCAGTAATTCTTCATACATAGATCTTTCTGTGGCTTTTATAAAATTAGAATGAGAAGATGAGAAACAAAGAGCACTGACAGTTCCTATGAGCACGCTCTTTAAAACCCTAGGAAAGGAAAGGGACACCATCTCAGCATCCCAAGCCATATTTTCAACTATACAGTTTAAAAATAATATTAGCTAAAGTCAATTTATAAACTCAGAGAAAATCAGAATACAACATAATCATAAAGTCTCCCTGAAAGGAAGTTCCTACATTTTTCTGATATTAGCTGCCCATACTGAACATATTATTAGGCTTAAATTAAGTAGCTTTAAAAAGCCTTAACAAGCATGAAAAACACCAAAAGAAAACAACAACCTACCACCACCAACAAAGAAGTCAAAAACAAAAACCAACCCAATGTGTATGAAGAACATTGTATTTACATGGTGAAGCTTAGAGTCAACACTTGGCCATGTGGTAAAGACAAACCACTTTCCACGGCAAGAAACAGACACAACTCCTGTAATGTACCACTACCACCTTAGAACCAAATGTCCCTCCAGTTTCTCAGAAGTAACTCTGAGAAGGGAAGCATGCTCTGCCATGCTGGGCTGGGCTGTGCCAATGGCAACAGCTGCATATAAGCTGAGAACTGGTAAAACTCGGATGAGAGAAACAAACTCTTAATAATCCTGGAAGCTTCTGCCAGCCAATTTGAGAAAAACATAGGAAACAGCTAGCCAAATCCCATTTAGCCTCCCCAGATTAATGGTATGCCTGCTGAAAACTGTGGTTTCTTTTTAATGTGCCTTTCTTTGCTACCCACTTGTGTATCAGATTAAAAGAGGACTTGTACAGGTCTGAAAAGGAGTTCAGATATTCACTTCAGAGAATAAAGATAATAATGGCCTTCTACCCTGCAGGTCTGCCTCCAGGAGCTAATAATCTTTTGCCATGAGGAAGAAATGGTACCTGGGCCCAGAAGCCATGGCTGTGCAGTGACCCTGGATCAGTCAGTGGAACAGTGGAAGGGTTTCTAACAAGCATCTCCCAGAAGCCTGAGTCCCATCCACAAACTGTTGCCAAGACTACTTCATATGTCCACATGTGACTCATTCTTCCTATGCTTGCGTCATTATCTTTTACTGTTCACTCTTCATATTTTCTTCTGCCCACTAGTCACCCTTGATGTTCATTTAAATCTGATTTCACTGGTTTAATAACATTTAAAAATGTTGATACAATCTTTTTTTAAAGTTTGTAGTTTATTATGGCCAATTCACATTACTATAGAATAAAAGGGAAAATCCTGGAGGAAGAAAAAGAGTGTTAACAGGAAAGAAAGAAAGAAAGAAAGAAAGAAAGAAAGAAAGAAAGAAAGAAAGGAAGGAAGGAAGGAAGGAAGGAAGGAAGGAAGGAAGGAAGGAAGGAAGGAAGGAAGGAAGGAAGAAAGACACAGAAAAAAGGGAGGAGAGAGAAAATAATCAGAAGCCAGCCATCAGGGCATCATCTCTGTCTTGGGCCCTCGTGACTGCTCGTCTTTTTTTCCTACCATCTGTCAGAATGCTGTCATTCCTATGGTACAGCATGGAATTCAGATTTATTATAAGCTGTATGTAAGATTAATACATATGTTATAGTCTCTACTCTAAATCTAGAACAGTAATGAGCACATTGTTTTATGAGGGGCAATGAAAGAAAAAATACTATCAGTTTTTTAAAATATTTTCATCATATGAATCAGTCTGTTGTTTTGTCAAAAACCCACCCCCACAAAGAAGACTACTCAGAAACTAAAAGGCAGAGTAGTCCTGACTATAGGCTGGCCTTGACTTGTTTTGACCAGTGCAGTTTGCCATATATGATGTGTGAGCTAAAAGCAGGGGTCAAGAAGCCTCACCAGCCCTGTCTTTGGACACTCATCTACCATGGGGTGGCCCCCTGTATCTTAAGGGTGAAAGAGATGGAAGTCCACACAAAAGGAGGAGCCTCACCATCTCAGCCTCTCCCACTGCTAACTTAAGTGAACCCATATTGAAAGACTATAAGAGTGCTGGTCAACCCCCAGGATCATAAAAACCCAGGTTTGTGTATAGGTCATTTGTGCCAAATGACCATTCATTCCTTTCCTCTAGGTCTGATCCTTAGTGAACCTATATATCAGGATAATTCTACAATTCTGAAACTAGATAATACAGTGGGCTATTAAGAATAAACACAACAGAAACTAAACCAAGAAACTCACAGGATCAAATTAGAAAATAAGAAGCTTTAGTTTTATGTGTGGAGTCCTTTATTCTATGGTGAAGAGACATGACAACTGCGGTCCTTTGAACCTTTCAATAGAAGCCACAAGCTGATGAAATATGAGCACTGGAGCTAAGTTTACTTTCTTATGACTCTAGGGAGAATGTGACAGTGTTTGCTGGTTGTAAGCAAGCTGACCCTGTATAAGGAGAGTAGGTCTAGGCATGGTAGACAACCTCATGATGGTGAGATACTGGTATGGATAGCGAGAGTGAGCTGGAGAAGAGGCCAGAGGATATGGAAAGCACTCACCGCCTGCATGGCCGAACCCCGGGGAGGGTGGGGCTCTATGAGCAGTTGTGAAGGCGTCTGTCCAAAGCTTCGGATCTGAGCTTCCACAGCCTGAAAGGAGCACAGACAAATCTGAGGGTTAAGAGGGGCTAATTACAGGCAGGACAGTGACTGTCATCCAAAATATCACTTCATACTCGTTGCTAGTTTCATGTTGAAAATCAACCCATGTTTCTACAGGGGTCCTAGGCATCTAGCCAGTGCACACTGGGTAAGGTCATCCTGCAGTACTGTGAAAGTTTCTACAAAACTAATATCTTTCTCATCTAGCTCAGTGACATGAAGCAGAAAGAAGTCATTACAATAAGAAAGCATCTTTTTGATTCATTATTGTCTTCTTGCTTTTCATTTTTTTTTTTTGCTTGTATTATCTGGATAGATGAGAAGTTGCTCTTTTAGAGGTAGCTAGAAAACTGTGGCTGCTTTGATTCTAGTCTCCATTTTCATCTTAAGAAGTAGAAAGGAGAGTTAAAAAAAAACCAAACACAGTACAGCACCTATGAAAATGGCTTGACATTGCATTACGTTTGCCACAGGAAGATCATTATTGTTGACAGTCTCTTTGAACCTCAGGGGCTAAATACCAAAGTAAAAGCCATATGCTGGGTCCCAGCATGAGACAGTGCAGCCAGGACCAACTAAGTAGAACAGCATGTGTGTATGCCCTATTGGGAAGGGGCGTGCGTGCGTGCATGTGTGTGATGCAAAACATATACTATTATATTCTTACTGTCTACTTGGCACAAATGACCACTTCCCAGCCCTTTCAACATGGGAGACCCCCTCCCCAGAGCCATAGTTACAAGTGACTTTGTTTACTTAGTGATGTCTGTCTCTTCCTATGAAAAAAATAGTTCCTATGAAAGAAGCCCTATATATTTTCCCTGGATCTCTAACCTGAATAAATGAATAAATGCTCAAGAAATAAATATACAGGGTCCTTGTATACCAGCAAAACAGTCCATTCTTAATTCTAAGACTGAAAAATAGAGAAATCCCTCAAATCCATAAGAAAATATATGTTCACCTTATGAATACTACAACTGTAATCCCTAAGAAAGTTGGTCTTCAATTTTTGTATGCTCTATAGAACTTTCATGCTATAAATCATTTAACAGATAACGAACAAGGAAATATAATTATCCAATACTAACAATTTGAAACTTTAATTTGCTGAGGAGAGCTCTAATGGTCTTTACAAAGACCTGGGAGAAACAATGAAAGCAGTTATTTGTTGATGCACTCAGTGATCAGGAAGTGTAACATATCTCTATCTATCTATCTATCTATCTATCTATCTATCTATCTATCTATCTATCTATCTATTGTTTCATTAGGTTCATTTCTTCTTCCCTCCCATTCTACCTTCCCTCCAATAGGGTCTCACTAAGCAGTACAGGCTGGCCTTGAAGTCATGATCCCTCTGCTTTAGACTTCCAAGTGCTAGAATGATGGGTATGCACCACACACAGCTGATCGTCTGCTTAGGTCTTACTGTTTCTGCCTTATAAGAATATATTCCTGGCATATGAAGAAGAGTGAAAGTACTTGAAAAGTTGAATAATACTTTGAAACAATCTGTCTTATAACTGAAGAGATGCTTTAAAACCTGCAGAAGAGAAAACACTTGACAGCATCTCTATCAGAATAAGTGGGGAGGCAGAGCCAACTCAGACAATGTTAAATTCTGTACTCATAACATCCACAAACTTATGTGATCCAGCTTCCTAAGTTTCCTAACCTAAGTTTAAATGTTCTTACCTATAAACTCACAATAATAGGTTAAGTGATACATGTATAAAAGTCAGGGCAAAGTGCTTTGCATAAATTAGACCCTAAATATGGAGTCAACAAATAGTTCCTGGGGGCAACTAACAAATACTTATGTAGAATTTACTTTCTCTGGAAACTTTCCTAAGTCACTGATTTTGTTATAGCATTTATTTTAAAATTGTATTGTAACATTATTGTGTTCATGTTATAAGTAAGGAAACAGGTAGAGAACTTGAGTATCTTGCTTAAGGCAATTGAATAGTATAGCCATAATTTGTACCTAAGCAGCCATACTTTAAGAGTTCAACCTGGCAATCGTTTAGCCATCCTGTCATCATCTGTTAGGCATAATGTAAGGCATTAGGGATGAGACTGAAGATGAAAGGATAAGTAGAAACTTTGTGACCTATTTGTAGTACATCATCATCATTGTCTCAGTCGACAAAGTGTATTAGATTCAGTAATAGAACAGCATAATGAGGCAAGGGTTGGTTTGGGTCTAGTGTCAAACCTTTTGACATTGACGGGACCTGGCCAACTACAAAGTTCACACTAAAAACCACATAGTCAAGTGACAAAAGCAAAACAAAAAAACAAAACACAGGATTTCTTTTGGTCCTCCCCTACCCTTTGTGCGAGAGACAGAGAGAGAGAGAGAGAGAGAGAGAGAGAGAGAGAGAGAGAGAGAGAGAGAGAGAGAGAG